TCTAGTATATCGTCGGTCAACGGGCTGTCCCAATCGATGTTCATACGCCAGAGTCGTTGGAAACAAAGTTTTGCAAGTATAGTGAAGGGTACCAGCATCCCAAGCGGGTCGTAAATTCTTGCTGTTGTCTGTAATACGGCTCGCTTGGTGTCTGTTCGATTTTGGGAAAAGTTGACAACGTTGTCCGACGTAAATGACAATACGTCAGAGCTTGGTGTCCACGTGAGCCCAAGTACCTTTACTATACCTGGCAACTCTCCTAGCGATACCTGTTGACCCTGATCTTCGTTGATTTTCTTTAAAACTTCTGGAGAGTTGGACGACCACTTGTGTAGTTTCATGGAGGCGAGGTTAAAAATTTCATTCGTCTCGGAGTAGATCTGTAGAGCTTGTTCTTCGTTGTCCGCACCCGTTAATATGTCATCAACGTAGATCGATTTCAGAAGTTTCTCAGTGGTTTCAGGGTACTGTGGGTTCATGAGTCTCAGGTGATGTTGAACTGTCGCTGCTAGGAGAAGGGGACTCGGCGTCGTGCCAAACGGGACTCTCGTCATTCTCCAGATTTCGATTTTCGGAAGTGGATGTTCTGCCTCTGGCTTGCTTTCAAACCACAGGAAACGCAAGGCATCTCTGTCCTTGCAGTTGATGGAAATCTGTAGGAATGCCTTCTCGATATCCGCGACGAGAGCAATTTTATGTGTCCTGAAGTTTAGAAGTAGCCCCACTAAGTCAGCATTCAGATTTGGGCCGCTCTCTAGGTTTTCATTTAAGGACTTCGATCGATGGCCGTGCGACGAAGCATCAAAAACTACGCGTAGCTTGGTTGTTCGACTTTCCTTGACTACTGCTTGATGTGGCATGTAGTAGGTGACACCGTCACTGTCTCCGCTTTCTACTTTCTCCGCCATACTCTCGTTTCCATATTTTCTTATGGCTGAGTCATACGCAGACAGGATCTTTTCATTACGTCTGAGCCTTCTGGTGAGCTGCATCAGTCGTTTTTCAGCACCTTCTTTATTGTTCTGTAGGTGTACAAAAGGCTTCCAAGGAAGGGATACCTCGTAACGTTCTCCGTTGCTCGTTATCGTTTCTTCGAAGGACGTTAGTACGGAGTTGTTCGAAATATCGCATTCGTCTTGCTTGACTCCTATAGCTTCCAGGTCCCAGAATTTTCGTAGAATGTTTTCGGTGTTCCGCGTTATCGCTGACGTCCTGAGTGCGACCGTTTGGGAGTGTTGTAACACTGTGGAGCTTAGGCTCATGGGACCGTGCACAGTCCATCCGAACGACGTCTCGATGGCCTTGATATTGCCGTTGAGTTTCGTGACTTGTCCAGTTACAAAATCCCAATAATGTTCAGCGCCTATTAAAATGTCAATATGGTTGGAATTGTCGTCGTTAGCGATAACCGCGATCGCATAATTCAGCTGACGTAGCTCCTGTATGACGTTGTTATCCGGTTGTGGCAGTCGTTGATCGCAAATTATGCTAGTTTCAAGAGCCTCAAGGTGGTAAGTATGTCCATCGTGTTTGCTTTGCAGAGTAATGAAGACCCTTCGAAAGTTCTTCTCCTGGTTATGTCAACCGAAATACCCTACTGCAAGTCGTTCGCTTCCCACAACTTCGCAGCCCAGTCTCCGAGATAAGTCTTCGGTTATAAAGGATCTCTGGCTACCGCCGTCAAACAATACTCTAGCCATCGCTTTGTTTTTGGTTCCAGAAGCCCACGCTTCGGCCGTTTGTAACAGCACTATCCTTTGGTCCGAAGTCTCAGTCGTTGATTTTAGCTGTAACGGAGCTGTGCCAGCGACATTCTTTTGTCCGCCGTTCTTAAATTTGGGGTCGCACATCGTGGAAGCGTGTCGGCCTCGGCAGTGCCTACATGTGATTCTTCTTCGGCAGTTCTTAGACATGTGGTTCACAAGGGTGCAGCGGAAACACCCGCCGTGTTTCTGTAGCATCGTCTTCTTTTGTTCCAGTGAAACTGTCGAGGTGCACTCTTCCGTCTTGTGTTCTTTAGATTTGCAAATGAAGCACGGTGTTCTGAGATCCGTTTGTTGAAGTAGTGCAGACGATGATGGTTTAAAATTGTTCTGCTTATCAGGATACCTTTTACCTCCTGCCAGTGCATTCGTCTTTTTTGTCAGAGGGTGCTCCAATCTCGCAAGAGTATACGTTTGTTCTCGACTTTCTATTTCTACCTTCAAGGCTTGGAGTAACGATGTTAGCGCTGCAGGCTGTTCTCTAGGAACTCGCGCTCGCGCTCCTTCCTCATTTTGTTCTTGGGCGTTCCCTTCCTGTCGAATCGCCTCTCTGTTATAGTGAAGCATTATCTCTGAAGGAAGGAGTCTCACGAGGAGATGATGTAGCATCGAAGAGTAAGATTCTTCACTCATCCCGAGAGACTTGAGTCCACGTACATGGGCCTGCACATTATCGTAAAGACCTCGAAGTCCACGTACGTCTTGTGCAGAAGGTACCGGGTTAAGGTCAAGTAGCTTTTCCATATGATCTTGTATGAGCCGTTTCTCGTTGCCGAATCGGCTAATAAGGATGTCTACTGCATCCTTGTAGCAGATGGACGTTGATGGGAGTCCGACGATGGCTGCAGCGGTTTCTGCCGTTAGCGAAGTTCTCAAGTAATTGAACTTGTCGCAAGCTGTTAGTGCCTCGTTGTGCTGAACCGCTTGCTGAAATTGCTCCCAAAACGGTTGCCATAGTCGTTGTTGGCCGTTAAACTTGAGAAGCTCCAGTTTGGGAAGCTTTACCTTTAAGGTACTCGTCGGTTCTCCAATTCTTGCACTGTTTCCAGGGTTTGTTGTTTCGGTTGGGGTTCGTTGTTGTAGAGTTCGGATTGAGTAGTCCAACTGAGCCAGGTAGGTGACGGCGCGGTCATTGCACTCGAATGCCCGGGTGTATTCTTGTTCCGTGTCGTCCCCCACGAAAGGCTCGATGGCGACATCTGTTTCGGTCATTTGGGTATGCAGACTACCCAATCGTTGCCTGAGGATTTCGATGTCCCGTTCGATGATCGGATCACGTTGAAGGGCAGCGTCGATGTCTAATATCAGCCTTGTCAGTTGGCTTCGTAGGGCCTTCCGTTTCAGTTTCAGACGATCCATGAGTAGTCGTCAGCCGTGGCTTGAATGGAACGTATCAGTAGTCCTGCGTTAGTTGCTGAAGATTCGGTAGTTCCCTCGTCCAGGTTCCTCTCGTTGCGTCTCGTTCCCGGGTTTCGGCACCATATTGTAAGAACGGCTGACTAGTCGTTAGTAGATGAAGCCAACAACAGCCTTTATATACAAATATTTACATTAAAATCTCCGGCATCGTCCGCTCATGGCCAGGCCTCGATCCATTTCGTGCATTCTATTTCTCGAGCTCCCGCTTCTTCTTCCTCCTTGTGGGGATGCCCGCTTCCATACAATAAGTTTCAACACACTCCCCCCCGCAAGAAGAAGAAATAGCTGGTGTGCCGTTGCATTAAAGTTGAAAGTTGGCAGAAAGATAATTATGACCTTCTCTGGACGTCCATGCTTCTCGGAAGATCGCGCTGGTAGCCTGGCGATTATTTTATCATTGCCGTTTAGGTCGTTCAGTGTCACGTCATGTCTGTCATTTGCATAGAATCCAGGGGCGTTGTCTCGCCTTGTGTGAGCGAGCGATTTAGTCTTCCGTTCTTCATTCTATTGAATCTGGAAGTCGATCGTGCAGTCACGTGTATTAAAACCACGGGGACGGGACAAGGCGCGAAGTGTACGATACGCTCTTTTCCTAATCTCCTTCATAGCTCTCGTTAGGCGCTGATGTATGCCGATTCTTTGTTTTGTGCTTCGTTGCTTGTATAGTCTCCCTTGTTTCTTAAATTGCTTGTTTCGTTGAGGAGGTCGTTTGACATTCCGGTTTAAGAAGGTTCCATTTATAGTTGCTTTGGCACGGTTCCGTTTCTTCCTATCTTTTTGTGCTTTTCTGACTCTATTCTTCTGTTTTCAAGTCGCCTTCGTTTTGAATGTGAGGACTTCTGTGAGTGCCGGCTTCATACTCTTTCTTGAAACCAGACATGACGTGACACTGAACGACCTAAACGGCAATGATAAAATAATCGCCAGGCTACCAGCGCGACCTTCCGGGAAGCATGGACGTCCAGAGAAGGTCATAATTATCTTTCTGCCAACTTTCAACTTTAATGCAACGGCACATCAGCTATTTCTTCTTCTTGCGGGGGGAGTGTGTTGAAACTTATTGTATCGAAGCGGGCATCCCCACAAGGGGATGCCCGCTTCCATCCCCTTGTGGGGATGCCCCTTTTCTTCGATGTCCCTTTTCTGACTGTAAATAGTGTACATAAAGTTTCTGTCGATTTAAACACCATAACGTCCAGAAGTTCTTCTATACAGTTCTCACATGCTGGCCAACCATACTGCCGGTGCAATGCCCGCCTTTCACTGCTCACTTCTTTCTGATCGTTTCTAGGACTGAACTTTGTCGTCCACTTTCGAACTTGGAAGAAAATTTCAACGAGGCTTGTCTTCACTTCAGACAGCCAAATATTTAGAAATTTTCTAGACAAGGGTTGATTTAGTTTTACCTTACCGATTACCTGTACCACGAGCAATAAAAATTGTTTCTTGAGCTCAAATGTATGCCGCGCTGTGTCACGAAAACACGGTAGCGCGCACTTTTGGGTCCCCCATTTAGGGAACCTCTCCACGGAAGCCACTTATATTTGCTACAGCCAAGAGGTGACACCAGCTACCACCCCAATAATAAAACACGGAGCTATCGCTCATCCAGCCATCGTCAAACTTGGCTAGGTACTTTTAGGTACCTAGTAGGGAAGGGCGGTTAACTTTTAACCGCGGTTAAAGTTAACCAGCTTCGAGCAAACGGGCCCAGGTGGTCGAAATTAATGCTCAGTCCTCCGCTGGGGCATGCATGGCAGCTGCCCTTGGTTGCTTCAGCACTTGGCTTCCTCAATTCTGGCTTCCTGTACGCCGCAGGAGGAGTTCTTCTTCGTGCTAAAGCACACCGAGATGGACTCGACCCAGATCTGCGGCACTGTGTTCCCGGACGAGTGCGAGAGCCACACCGTCGTCAACTGGACCGTGCCGCTGCCTCCACGACGGAAACTCCGGCCGGACCCGGTGCCGGCCCCGAGTGTAAGTTCCACTGCAGACGGCTGGCATGGCTGCAGATGCTTTTCTTCCAGCGATCATTTGAGACGCAGAGACTTCCGAAATGTAACCACGATCAATTAGCTTCGCTTAAGGGGGATTCAACCGCTATTTATTTTTTGTATTTTTTTCGTCATAAATGGCGCAGTAGTTTTCCAGAATGAACGATTTAGATGGCGCAGAATAGATGGCGCAGAAGTTTTATAGAATGCTCGCAGCTGCGCATGCAGGTCGGGTGCTCCAGGGCCGGTTTGCTCATCTTGCGGCCGCGGCTGCGACTGCGGCCAAGAAGGAATTTTATGTCACGTGACGAGCTCCAGGGGGACAAGGAAGTACCTAGCGTCCCTGCCTAAAGGCAGAAAATTCCGTGCCGCTTCGAGTACAAAAGTCTAATTTCGCTCGCAGAAACTGACTGCAGAGGCTTTCAACTTAAGTCCAATTAATCGCCCCATCATACGTTAGGAGCGGCAGGTAAAGTTATGGCCAGGGAAGGTAAATATAGGCCAAGATAAAAGAAAAAAATCACGCAAAGCGAAAGCGGTGGTTGTGTATTTATATTTGTGTGCCTGCGACGTTGAGACCATCGTCTGCGTAGTAGAAAGGTTAGGGCGCCGGGACTTGTCGCGGCGTGCAAGTTTTGGGTTCGAATCTTGGCGTAAACTTTCTTTTTCTTTTTATTGTGCGCGTGTTCTTTTTATTTTTTTAAGTGGGATCTTTTTTTACTAATTATCCGCTAAGACCCACCTGTTGGGTCGACCTGTTGGCCCAACAGGTGGTTACAGGTGGTTTGTTGCCCCACCTGTTGGGTCGACAAACCAGAAGAAAAAAAAAGATTACGGTAAGCCACGTTAACGCCCTACTGCAATCGTTTTATAATGTTCATTAAAGGTAATTAAGATCAAGCGAAGTTAACGCGCAAATACGAGCGTTTTCTAATGTTCATTAAAAGGCCGCCAAGATTACAGCATCGGTATGACTTTCACACAAACTGGGCCGAAACAAGCATCCTTTCCCAGCAACTACAATTTTATGTTTTTTTTTTGTTTTTTTTTAAATATACAACGCTCTTGCTACGACTCTTTTCGGTAACAGGAGGTGCCTATTGAGTACTAATACACAATGCAGTCGTGTCAATTAAGAAAAAAGGTTCCACGAAATAAACACAAAAAAAAACGCGCAGAATAAAAAAAAAGCGTATTCGCCGAGATTTGAACCTGGAACTTTCACGCCGGAACGCCCAGTACCGGCGCTCTAACCGTTCAAGTACAGCAGACGCTGGTCGCGGCGGCGCTGGCACTGGTATACAAATACACAACCAGCGCTTTTGTTTTGCGTGATTTGTCCTTTCTTTTGGCTTATGTTTACCTTCCCTGGCAGTAACTTTACCTGCCGCTCCTAACGTATGATGGGGCGGTCAATCGGACTTCAGTTGAAAGCCTCTGCAATCAGTTCTGCGAGCGAAATTAGACTTTTGTATTCGAAGCGGCACGGACTTCTCTACCATTACGCAGGGACGCTAGGTACTTCCTTGTCCCCATGGAGCACGTCACGTGACATAAAAATCCCTCTTGGCCGCAGCCGCAGCCGCGCCGCAAGATGAGCAAACCGGCCGAGGTGGGCTCGGAACGCGGGCTGTTCACCGCCGATCTCGAGCTAGATCTTCTTTGCCCTGCGTCCGCCGCTGCCGGAAGCGGCCAACGGGCAGCGCGGAATACGAGGCAGTATAGACGTAGATTATAGTGACTTACATAACGCAGAATAAGCTCTGATATCCGATTGTATTCGAACTTCCAACTACGGTCGAAATTATCGAAATTTCAGGGTGCGGGGTGCGGCCCTTTGGACCAGCATATTTGGCATGCCTCATAAGATTCGAATTCCAAAACTATACGTACCTCAAACTAAAATCGCAAACGGTGGTTTCCAAAAAAAAAAAAAATTGTCGATTTTTAGTGCTCAAATTAAAGCTACAAAACCAAAATGAAAGACAATATAAATAAAGCGGCAGTTTTAAACTTCCGATGTCCTATATCGGTCCGCTCTTCGTCTGAATACTAGTTTGCAAACTTGCCCCCAGGAGGTGTGGAGAACGCAAAAACACCCAGAGAGAGGCTGGTGGCGAGAAGGATATCCACGATAAATAATTATTTTAGGGAAATATTTGATTGATAACGCAGTTCCAATTCGCATTTAGAAAAACAAAAAAACTTATCTCTTCTATAAAAATATATTCTAATGTAGACGAATGTTTGCTTCATTACGTCGTCTGCGATCCGTTCGCGTATCTCTGCTGGGCGCGGAAGACACGTAGAGAGGAGGAGTGGAGAGGTTCGTTAACTGACGCATGGCGCCGGTTAACGAACACAGGCGGAAATGGGCCGCCCCGTGTTCCCACCGAGAGTTTCGAAAAATCAAATAACTTTCGCATAAGATAACGGTTAGTGCTGAAACTTTGGCATCTGGTTTGGACCTCTAGCGCTACATTTGGGCGCAGAATGAGCATTCGGCAATACATAGTTTATTTTTGAAAAAAAAAAAAAAAATTTTTTTTGGGGGGACACGGTTTAGTTTTTGAGAAAAGAGAACCGTGTTTTCTCGGCCCAGGTAAGTAAACTATGCAGCACAAAAACCTCCAACACCGTGAGAACGTGGTAGCGGTTGGGAAAGAGCGCGGAAGTTTGAGAACATTACGTTACCTAAATCAAGAGGCAATGGAGAAAGACGAAAGTTTCCTCTGAGCCGAAGTCCACTGATATAATGTTTCTTCAGCAGGATACCCCCCCCCCCTTGTGCAATGTTCGCAAGGGCCTTTAAGGTTTAATAAATGATGAATAAATGATGAACCCTAGCATCGCCAAAACCAATAACACTGTGGGCTCCTCTAACACCTTTTTGATTAAAAAAAAGAAAACTTGTCAGCAAGAACCAAAACAATATTCTCTTTCTTATTGACAAGTGTTTTTCACTGATATAAATACCACAAGCGTTCACAATGTCAGTTCCGGTTTTCACGATAGTGTCAGTTCATTTTTCGTCGTGGCGTCACGAGTTCTGACCCTTGCTACATACCATCAGATGCGACAAGCAAAACCCGTGCCACACGGGCGACTCTAATGCCATTTACAACAAATGACATTCGCCCCAAAAGTCATTTGAAGGTGCTACACGGCCTCCACGAATGGCATTCGCAGCAAATTTCATTTACCACCGAAGGGGTTCGGCGCAGTGTTGTACACGTTCCTCAAAAAAAAGGAACGAAAGCTCGTTCCTCTTTCCTTCTGATTTGTGGAACGCGCTCCCGTTACAAGTTCCATCTTTGAGAAAGGAACTCGTTCCCGTTACATTTAAAAAAAAAGGAACGTATCGTTACGTATACGTTACATTTGTATTTTTTGCTAATTACCATATTTAGTTAAATCAACCAGAGTTTTCTTATTCTTTTATCTATCCCTTTATTAGTCAACATGCGAGTTTGTAAGTCGTGATGGAAGGGCACCCAGAGAAGAGAACACGCGGAAGCAGGGTTTCATTTGTTAATATATTTATGTTAAAAATCTCAGCTATTAACCATATCCATGCTTGTAGTGCACAATTCAGAGGAGCCAAATGTACTTTTACCCAAAATTGCATGAGCGTTTTACAACAACCTCACACGTTTCAATTTAACAGACTCCCCTGTTAGAACTTAACATAAGTTGCTTCTCGATGTTGCTGTTCGCAAGACGAGCAAGTAAAGAAGAGGGTAGGGCTTTTGGAAAGTCAGTCTTGAAAGCTACAAATACTTCTTTGTAAGGTTGGATTTGCTGTTCAGTTTGAAGGTGGGCGACAAGAGAAGGATTAAAGGTTATTTTTTGTTTATCTTTTAAGTGACCAATGTTCGGGATACAAGGGTAAGTCCGACAACTGGCAATCCGCGATCTTGTAATTGTAGGTCTCGTTATTGAAGTTCAGAAATTGTTTTAGTCGGAATACGAATCCTGGGTGTATAAGGATTCGTGGAACCAAAAAAAGTAACTGAGTTGAAAACAACTCTCCTTCTTTGTCTTTTCCTGCTACTAAAAGTTTTGCGTTTTGTACCGCAGTGTCGGGCACTCAAAAAAGAATCAATGCCCACCAGCGAGGACCACACAAAATAATTTATAAGATTAGTAGCCAAAAAGTTAACGAAATCCTGCACTTCGTAAAGATATCGTTTTTGTAATTTCATACTTTCCCTGTTAGGGAAACAAAATAAAAATTACCCCACTGGACGAAAAAAGGAACGCCGTTACTCTTTCCGTTCCAGTAAAAATGTAACGCGTTCCCGTTCCAGTTCCAGCGATGCAAAATGGAACGGCGGCGTTCCTTCGTTCCTCCTAAAAGGAACGCGTTCCAGGAACGCCGTTTCTTGGAACGCCGTTCCGTACAACACAGGTTCGGCGGAACTGATTCGCATTCGGTCACGGGCCAAATGTGTAGCCTCTACCCCAGGTCCCAAGGAAAAAAACACCAATGTGATTACGTTAATCAAAGTATACCCGAACTAAAAGTTATTTATTGGTGTTTGTTTTTATGTATGCATTCTTTTATGCTAGATTTTTAGCGGAGCTTGTCACATAATTGCAAGCGGCTAGCTACTCTTTAACCCAGTAGACTCAGTCACATCGCCTGCGTCGCCATCATATTCGCGTTTCTTCTCGGTTTTGTTCAGACATGTACGTAGTTTAACTACTCTACTCAAGTTACTGTAGTCTAACTACTTTTCTAAGTAGTTTAGTAACCTTCAATTACATTTTTTTTCGATAATTAGTAGTTTACTTTAATTACTTTTTGTGAGTAAGTTCCCTACTGAAAAAAACCATTTGAAATTCAAACGGGTGGCAAACTGGTCGCCCGTTTGAATCAAACCTGTCGATCCGTTTGGATCAAACGTGATTATGGGATACGGGTACCCGTTTGGAAACGGTACCCGTTCGAAACGGTACCCGTTTGATCCAGGTGCCCGT